GTCCCATCCGGGTGACCCTGGAAGTCAGCTCGCAACCCGGGCCTGTTTCCTCATCCATACACCGTGGATAAGGATGTCTTTCACCTCTAGGAAACCTCGAGGCTTTTCATACAGTTTTGTTTGGGTCCGTGGCCCTCCCCAAGGCACTCTGGATGCCTTTAAGGAAGGCTACCATCAGTTTGCTGTCCCCAGGGAGCCAATGGGCATGATCCATTCAGAGACGCAGCAAGTCGCACGGCATCGACGGTGGAGAGCTTGGGATAAGAAACTGACTCGTATGGGGAAGTGGCTCCACTGTCAGCAGGAGGCCTGGAGGCTCCAATCTCTCAACAACTTAGCCAGTCAGGGTGCTCCAGGATGGGTGCGGGTGACAGTGGACACATCGGTGGGGACACAAGGGGCTGGTGTTCGACCAGTCTGAGTCTGGGGGCCGCCTCTTTAAGGGAATGCCCAGGTCCCTGCACCCCCAGTCCCCAACCTCTTTTGGGCTAAAGGCACCCCTGTGCCAGGTAACCTGTGCCAGGCAGTCCACAAAGAGCTACCATGACTGTGTCATACATCTGCTTGTCCCTGCGGTGCAAGGACCATGTGAGCGTTTGGGCCTCTCCAAGGCGAAGGCCACGTCAAGGCTCCTTTTGCAAAACATCTCAGGAAGTGGGCCGTTTGGTTCATGGATATCAACTCTGTACTGGCCTCAAATTCTTTCCCCTCACTGGAAATAAGGCAGCGATGAGCGTCCTCGGTGATTCTCTCCTGGCCTGGCCCACCCTGCCTGCCTCCCGTGGTAAAGCCCCTTACTCAAAAGGGCAGGAGAAGAAGAGACCACAGGAGTGGAGCTGGAGGCCCAGCGAGAGGGGGCCCTGACGGCCATGGGGGCCTGGGGGAAACTGCACAGCCTCTTTGTCCAAAGCACCACTCCTGGACACAAGCCACCATGCAAGGGGACGCTTGCATCCTGGTCAGGACCCATGCCCCACCCGGACCTCTGTGAGGCCTCCTAGGGTGGATGTGGGGCGCTGCGCCATCCGAAACGCTATCGCCTCCTTCCCCCACCGGAGGGCAGAGTTGGCGAAATCTGTTCCGCTTTGAACGCTGTGTCTGAGACCAGACATCCGGAGTACTGGTGGCTTCAACAAACCTAAATCTCCAGGGGCCCCGACAGGTGTCACCGTCCCCACATAGGACGTTTGACCCCAGAAGGGAAAGAAGACGGTGGTCCCTTCCGTAGGCTCAGAACGCAGCTTTGGGCATAAATCTGTGGACAGAATCGATTCTTAGGAGGGTGACGAATTGAGCAAAGAGCAGGGGCATTTGACACGTTAAAAGATTGTGCCAAATGGCCTTCCAAAATGATGGTAACACTTTTCATTGCTACCAACACTGACTGAGTGCCTATTTTCCAACATCCTCACCAGCACCAAGTGTTACGCTTTTTAAAACTTCTTGCCAAATTGATTGTAAAATAGCTAACAGATTTGACTTGCATTTTTAAACTTACAAGTTTTAGCATTTTTGGCTGTAGCAAAAATTCAAGAGCAACCCAAGTGTCTATCAAGAGGATACCAGCAACATGAATTATTGTTCATATATTCAATGTAATAACACGTGGCTCTTAAAACAACGAGCCAGATCTGTGCCGATGAGTTATATTTACAGGAAGGACGCTCAGGACACAGTGTTAAGTGAAAATGAAAGTTGCAGGAGTTTTGTGTATGATTTTTATAACCTCCACACACACACGTGCATACACACGCATACACGTACACACACACCCATGTGTGGACACGCACATTCATACAAACACTCGCACACACATGCCCCAGGAGGAGGCATCAGTGGGCATCAGGGAGGAACACGTGAGACGGAGCCCGCCCAGCCCATGCGCGTCACGTGACTGCCTTCCCAAATCCCGACAATCGGGACTTGCTTCCAGCGAGCCAGGCTGTGCTGCCAGAACATCTGAGAACAGAAAGGGAAATCCACACGTGCCAAGCGTCTGACACTAGTAGGTAAGTAAAGCGGCACGAGCCTGCACCCTGTGTGCGACGACAGCAACAGCCCTCGTGCCCTCTGACGTGGGACTCAGCACTTCTGCAGCCCTTCGGGCCCGGCACGGCTCACGTAGAAACCACGGCAGAGCATGGCTGCGAGCTGCGTTAAGACCTTTATTCCAGAAACGTTTTTCTTCTGGGGAATGTTCATTCGAAGCAGAGGCTTCAAACAATGAATGCAGACAAGAAAGTCTGATTAGGCGGCCACGGCATGTCCAGTCACACCCCGCATGCTGCGTGGCTCGTGTCCGTCAGCAGCGGGGATCGCCGAGGCAAACGCCGGCATCTCGTCTGCGAGGTGACCGTCCCCTGAACCTATCCAATGCTCTCCCGTATTCCCAGGCAGCTGATAAAGTAGTTTGATACCAATCAGTTGTAGATTAGATTCTGCAAAGCACGTTTTCCTAGGAAATCCAATTGCACCTGCTTTGGTTTCTGGGGCAGTATCCGTTATTTGGTGATGGTACGTGATTGTGCTTAGGCTGTTTGAGAAGAGAGGGTGTGATCCTTCATCTGACACGGGCCAGATGAGACTGCACCAGGGGCTTTGGAAGGGGAGGGGCCGGAGCGGGCACCCTTGGGTCCCGTGCTGCCTGGGCAGCCCCGTCTGCCCCTCTGCTTGGCATCTCCCCGACCAGGACCTGCCCCAGGGGCCCAGCCTGCAGGCCGTACATCCGAAGGCAGGCGTTTGGTGGTTCTCACCGCAATTTATTTTAATTACGTGTGACATAAAGATACCACCTACAAATGAGACAATGCTGCCATAAGAGTCTCAAGGTTACTGTAGGGAATACTTCATAACCGAAGTGTGTTTTCCCCAAGGAGTTATACTACCATTTGATTTAATTTTTAATTTTTACATTTTAATCAAAAATAGATCAAATGGTGGTGGTCTCTCTGGGGAAACATACTTCAGATAGGAAGCCGGCCATGCTCCTTTTAAATATGTAAAGCTCCCATCTCCCTATAAGTCACGGATGGCGCCTGCTGCCAGCCGCCCCTGCGATGGCCTGGGCGTATTTCCCGGGCAGCAAGGCCGCCGGCGGCACCTAAACCTGCTCCAATCCGTCAGGAGCCTTAAACAAAGGATGAGAGGTTCATTTAATCAAATGTCCTCTGTACCATGTGGGTCATTAGATCTCCCCGGGGTGGGGCCTGTTCTGCCTCCCACAGGGAGTCCCCTTACCTTCCCCTGGTGGGTCGGTCGGCAATGTGAATCACATCTCAGGGGTGTGTGTGTACACCTGTGCACACTTGCTCTGCATTCTAAACAACAGGCAATAAAACTTTTCAATTGCAAGGAAAGGCATGCACATTCTTATCCAGGTGGGTCTTCCACCTACAAGGGTCACCTGGTTTGTCACATCACCACCTTGAGGGTGACCCGGACTCCCGCTGATATGCAGGTGGGCTCCAAGAGCAGCCACTCAACCCACCATGGACCTCAGATGATACACACGTACCTTCTGTAGCTTCTCTGGACTTGACGTTCTCATCTGTAAAGTTCTCACTGTAAAGTGTAAAGTGGGGATGAAGCTGGGATGTGCGTCATCGTGCGGACCAAGCGTCCATCAGAGGACACGCTGGAGAAGTACTGGCCGCACACCGGAACTGCTCACAAACGTTATCTCGTTAGCGTCTTGCTACTGCCTGGGTAATAAAGGTGATGTGCTCATTCTCTCTCATCCTGAGTGTCGCCACAGGACACTGGAGGCTCCTGTTCAAGGCTGGATGCCTGACGGGGAAACAGCCTGGACAATGCGGGAGACCCGGGGCCTCCAGCAGCCCTGCCCTTCCCGGGGCTGCCTTAATGCCTCAGCAGTGCCCACAGCTTTGCAGCCGGCAGGGCTTTCTGAAGTGCCCGGATCTCCCTTCGGTGAGTAACCCAGACACCCACACTCCAGGCTTCCAGCCTCCCCCGTTACAAAGCCAGTGGATCCCAGGAAGCTGGGAGGGGGTGGGGGAGGCCTGCGGGGGAGGGGCACCACCCACTTCCTCCAACTCCTGTCCCTGCCTCAGCTGAGATCGGCAACACCACGGCCACACCAACCTGGCCCCGGAGACACGCTTCCTCACGTTTCTGATTCAATACATCCCACCAGTGCCCCAACTCAGGGATGTTCCCCTCCGTCCGCCAATGTCATTTACATAAAGATCCACCGGAAGTGTTCCTTCTGAATCAGCTCCAGGGAAGTAACGCAGTTTCTCCTAAAGGACAGGTGTGCCTCCTTTCTTTGGGCCAGCAGTCTATACAGCAGACCATCTCCGTGCCCTAGAAGCCCAGAGAAGAAGCTCACGCTCGCATCCGGCAGCCTGGCCCCCGGACAGTGGTCCTCTGCTTTGGTGACGAATCTGTCTTCTACCTCCTTCTCTGTGACTCATCACAGATGTGCTTGGCACTGGCCTGCCCAGCTCCCTCTAGAAGCTGTAGGACAGCGGGGCAGTAAAGGCTGGTCTGGCTGCGTCCTCGCCCCGGTCCCACCCGCTAAGCCTGAGGGTGGAGCCTGGCTCTCTGGGCGCCCCTCCCACTGGCCAGGTGGGCAGGCCGATTGGGGGCAGGCACCCGCTTTCCCCGCCCAGGTCCAGCACCCCCTGCACCCTCCTCCTCCCCGGTCACCGACGTGGCCCATGGCTTGGCTGGACAGACTAGGTCCCCAGTACCCACTTCTGGGGCCACCATGGGGCTTTGGGACAGCGTTGTGGGCCCCCAACTCAGGACTCAGGGTGAGTGGGTTTGGCTGCTGTTCCAGACCCAGGGGGCCCAGGGGAGGTGAGGCCTGCAGGGACCTCAGTCGGCTTCAGGCCCTGAGGGCCACCCACTATCCCCACAGTTACACAGGTCCCGGCAGTTCAGCAAATTTTCTCACAGACCATGCACAAGCTGTGCATCACAGAGGAAGCTCATGAATGAAATAGAGAGCTGGGGAGACATGTTCTTAATAGACTTTATTACTAATGCAGAGGCCCTGGAACATACAGCGAGGCCCCTGGAACTGGGGGGCTCCAGCCCTCAGCACTGTCCCAGGTGTGTCCCCGAGGGTGGCCAGGGTGGGTACGAGGTCGGGCTTGGGCTCGCTCATGCATCCTTCACGTGTTTGATCCCAACGCTTGGGGAAATCACGCTGCCGAGGGGATGGGGGATGAGCAGGCGTCCTGGTGCCGGGCAGGGCTTGGACACTCCCACCTCTGAGACTGGGGAGGATGGCCATGCCACCTGGCGGGTAGGAGGTCCAGCTCGGGCGGGTCCCCTTTCCTCCGCTGGGCTCGGTCTTCATGTTAGAATCCGAGCTCCACACGGTGCCTTCCCGGGGCACAGCGTGTCATCCGGGCAGGACAGCGACTCTCTAAGACACCGGGCAGGCAGGTCCAGGCCTCTCCACTCGGGGGCTGGGGCGGGTCCTGGGCTGGGCGGCCCGGCTCGCTCGCGGCCACCAAGGTGGTGTCCGACTTTACGGTCATTTTGTTCGTAGGGTTTGCTGCCAAAGTGACAACTCCTCCTGAAGCCACGTGGAGTAAGTGCCGCTTCCACTCCTGGGAGGCTGCGCCTGGGGTTTAGACTTGGAGCTCTTCTCATTTAGAGTTAGAAAGTCAGGGAAACATTTAAAATGTTAAATGGAAACCAAGAAATTCTGTTGCGCATTGTTGGGAATCAAAGCAGAGAACAAGGAAATCCTGTCACATTTAGAAAGGGACTATCCCTCGGTGATACACTGAGTGATTTTAACCTCATCGCCACGTGTTCTCTTTTCAGCCTACCTGCGGCGCACACGCGTCGCTTTTCCACCCAGGAGAGAATCACTGGCAACACGGGTGACACTTAGGGCTGAGGGCAGGGTCTGCAGCGGGAAGCAGGTGGTGGACGTGGCTGCGAGGTCGGAGCCCTGCAGGATGTGGCAGCAGGACCACGAGCCGAGGGTCCTCGGTGGGCCGCCCCCAGCCCCGCTGGCTGAGCACGCTGCTGGCCTGGTGGTGGCTGGGCTCCTGAAGTTCATTAAAAATTGGTTCCAATCGACTCTGTGAATATTCACTGAACCCCCCTGGGTGCCAGGGAACCCTGCCCAGCTCTGGGGCACCGCCGAGTGAAGCACCGTCCTCGACTCCACTTGGGCCCGAGAAAACCTCGCACCCTTGCCCTCCAAGGCCAGCCTCCCTCAGGGCTCTGGGAGGGGGGCCGGGTAGACAGGGATGGAGGGGCGCCCTGGGCCGGCAGCTGACGGCCGAGCCAGCGTGCCTGGACGGGGGACAATGGCACAGGGACCTGGCATCATCCATGACATATAAACATCACTAATCCACAAAATCCAGGCAAGCTGGAAGAGAAAATAAGGTGTAATCACAGTAAGACTTTAACATGTAAGATTTCTAAAAGAAATGTGAAAATCTACATGACATTTTCTACCTCACATAAGACAGAGTCCTGTGAATTCATTTCACAAAAGCAGCAAAGAAACACCAAATCTGAATGCCACACTGAGGGTACAAGGGGCCATCTTACACATTTATACCAGTTGTGTCAGGACGTCTTTTTTGTTAAGACCCACGCTTCCTCAGAGTGACGCGGAGCTCGAGAGGATGTAAGCAAAGCTCAGCTGCCCCGGGACCTCTGTAATCTGCTGGGCCCATCACTGTTGTTCACATGGTTTTTGGGGACAGAGTCAGATCTTCTGGGACAAGCCTCTGTGCCTCTGTGTCTGAGGTGGCATTTCCCAGAATAGGGCCCAGAGCATGTAGGGCCCTCACTGGACCGCGTCCACCTGTGTCAGGGTGCTGGTATCGAACTTGACAACGGAGGGAGAGCTGGCCGGCTGTGGGATACTCTGCAGTCCGGGTGGGCACAGCAGTCAGCGTGGGCTGCTCCAGAGCCTGGACTTGCGGACACGGGGTCTTGAGCGCATCTGTCAACTACCCCGGATGCCAGTGAAACCGCGGCATAAGTGGAACCATCTGGAGGGACAAAGAGGCTTTGTGCGAAGTCTCCTCCTTCTCTGGTCGGAGGAGAAACTGCTGACCACGGGGAGGGGGAGGAGAGCCCCTTCAGCGACGACCCTCTGGGGGGAGAGGCAGCATTCGAACCCAAGTGCAAAGTCCAAGAGTAAGTGCAGCCCTCCCTCCCAAGTGCCACCGCGGTCTTTTTAACTTTACTGTGGTAAGAACACTTAACACAGGATCCAGCCTCTCGGGTTTTCAAGTGTGCAACACACACGGTTTGCTGACACAGGCACTCTGTCGTGAAGCAGAGCACCAGAGCTTAGTTTCCCTGCACATCTGAAACTCCACCCACCCAGCAACACCCCCCCGTGTGCCCCTCCCCCAGCCTGGCAACTAGGGTTCTGTCCCTTGCTTCTTTGAGTCTGACTCTTTTAGATTCCCCACATAAGTGGAATCATGCAATATTTATTCTTCTCTGAATGGCTTATTTCACTTAGCATAATGTCCTCCAGGTTCATCCATGTTTTCACATAATGTAGGATTTCCTTCTTTTTAAAGGCTGAATAATATTCCATGGTATGCATATACCACATTTTCTTTATCCATTTATCAGTCAACGGCCATTTAGATAGTTTCCGTATCTTGGCTATTGTGAATAGTGCTGCAATGACCATGGGAGTGCTAATATCACTTCAAGATCCTGATTTCGATTCCTTTGACTATATTCCCAGAAGTGCAATTGCTGGATCATCTATCTGGTGGTTCTATTTTTAATTTTCTGATGAACCTCCATGATACTATTTTCCATAACAGCTGTACCACTTTGCATTCCTCCCAAGAGTGGACAAGGGTTCTGACTTCTCCACACCTTCACGAACACTTATATTTTGCTTTTTTGGCAACAGCCATCCTAACGGGAGCGAGATGCTGTCTCAATGTGGTTTTGATTTGCATCTCTATAATGATTAGGGATGTTGAGCATCTCTTCATATGCCTGTTGAAGGCATCATACTTCCTGATTTCAAAATATACTGTAAAGCTACAGTAATCAAAAAAGTATGTTAACAGTATAAAGATGGACATATAGACCAATGGAACAGAATAAAGGGCTCAGAAGTAAATCCATGCATATATATGGTCAAGTGATCTTCAAAAAGGGTGCCAAGAATACACAATGAGGAAAAGATAGTCTCTTCCACAGATGGTGCTGGGAAAATTGGATATCCACACACAAAATAATGAAACTGGACCTTTATCTCATACTATACATACAAATCAACTCAAAATGGATTAAAGATCTGAAACTAAAACTTCTAGAAGAAAATGTAGAGGAAAAGCTTCATAACGTTGATCTCAGCAATGACATGATGTAACACCAAAAGCATAGGCAACAAAAGCAAAAATAGACAAGCTGGACTACATCGGACTAAAAACCTTCTGCACAGCAAAGGAAACAATCAACAAAGTAAAAAGGCAACCTATGGGATGGAAGAAAACATTTGCAAACTATATATCTGATAAAAGGTTAATTTCTAAAATATGTAAGAAACTCCTATAACTCAATAGCAAGAAACCAAATAACTCATTTTTTAAAGGGACTAAGGACTTGAATAGCCATTTCTCCAAAGATGACACACAAATGGCCACAGGACATTTTTGATGATCGGCAACTTTCAGGGATTGGAAGAAGCGTTTATGACCCCTGAGGTTAAATTTCTTCTGCTAATTCAAATTAATTATGAAGAGGCATGTCAAGAATGTTCGGAAAATTTACGAGGTTTAGATCCTCATTCAACTGGCTTTCCTGACACATGAGTAAGTGGGCCTCACCTGAAGACCGACCAAAAAGATCACTTTAAATGTCATACACATTTGTGGTTGACAGTTACATCTTATAATTTTATTCTTAATAAAGGTCATAACTAAACGTGATTTAAGTTTGGATTAGTGTAATTATTTTCACCTAAGTAAATTTAGATGTCTGTAAAGGAATATTGTTTTGTCCTGAATTGGGGCTAAAAAGTCATTATGTATTTAGTTAAAGCTCAATTAGCCCTTGCTGACCTGAGCAGGCCACTGGAAGGTCTTGGGCTCTCGTTCCAGAAGGAAGGGCTGGCCCCAGGCCTCCAAAGCCTCTGGCTCTCACCCTTACCATGAGTCAAGAAGTGGGAGTGCTTCTTGCAGACCAAGGAGAGCACCTGGAGAACCACACATGGGTGCAGAAGTAGCAGTTACCACACGCCGAGCCATCACTACATGCACACCGGCGTTTCACCTCAGGTGGCTGACAACTGTCACGATGACTCTATAAGGAGATGTCAGCCCCAAAATACAGCAGAGGAAGCGGATGGTCAGACAGAAACCCCAGATGAGTCCGTGAGAGCCAGGAGACGCAAACCCACATTCTGCAGTGTCCCCACCAGTCACCGTGGGAACCAGTTACCGTCACCGGCCATGGGAGGTGCACGGCCTCTCTTTACTGGACCACCCAGCCTTCCAACTGCTCGGAGCCGGCCCTGTAGATCAAACTGACATGCCATCCTGGACCCACACCAAGATATTTGTCCTCAGAGCGACTGGAAACTAAGGAACCTGATTTTGAGCCTGACACTGACCCGCCCCCATTGGAAGGTCATCTGGAGGGATTATTGCTGAGTTCTTGAGATAGATGGTTACTTCTACTCCATAGAAGCTGTGGGGTAGGTGGGTCCCAGGTGAAAGATGTCAGGTGGCTGAGCAAGGCTCTGAGCAGAAATTTACTGTACAGCTCAAGCTTCAAACAGAGGAGGATTCTCTCTCCTCATCCTCCTTTCTTTTCTTGCCCAACTCGGCTGTCCCTGCGTGCAATGGAGGGAAAGGCCACGATCCATGTGGGTGCCGCTGTCTGTGAGCCTTCCCTGCAGCACTGACTAAATGACAGTCGCCACATGCGTCACCGTCCACAGCCTCTGCCCTCCAGCAATTACGGCGGGAGGCCCAGCAGCGCCAACAACTCCTCCAGGACACCTGAGCGTGGCCCAGAGGAATGGACTCCATCCAAACGCTTGTCCGGGCTGTGTCCCCAAACTGGGGACTGAAGGGTCATCCCCAGCTCTGCGTGACCATTTTCCCAAAGAATCCAGGGCAGGGGGGCTTGTCTGAGTTCCTGAATTATCCCAGGGTTTCCAGTGGCTGGAGGAAGAGGAAGAAGTGGAAAATGAGTGGTTGGATTTGGGTTGTCCACAGCCGGGGACTTACAGGAAGCAAGGAAAAGAAAGGGAAGCGGTGGGACTTCCCTGACGGTCCAGTGGTTAAGACTTGTGCTTCCACTGCAGGGGGCTTGGGTTTGATCCCTGGTCGGGGAACTAGAATCCCGCATGCTGCGTGATGCAGCCAACAAAAAAGAAAGGGAAGGACTGAGTCACTGCAAGTCTTGATTTTTTATTCTGGTGAAATACACGACAAAGAACTTACCATTATAACCATTTCTAAGTGTACATTGCATCGGCATTCGGTACATTCATATTGTTGTGTAACCATCACCCCCCATTCATGTCCAGAACTTTTCCGTCCTCCCCAACAGAAGTTCTGTCCCCACTCCCGCTCTGAGCCCTGCTGTTTGCATTAGACAGCCCTGCCTTCCCACCGGGTGCAGAAGTGACAGTGATCATGGGAGGCGGACGCCCAGGAATCCTCACCAAATAAGCACGCATTCTGTAAGTAACTGATGGGCCAGAAGTTCCTAAAGGCTCTCTAAAATAAGCACAGAAATCAAGAATACTATCATGAGCTCGGGGGCCGCGGGCCGTGGTGATGAGGTCTGGGATGGTACTCGCCATGCGGCTCTGATGGCAAGGGAGGGGGCTTCACAACAGGGTCCGTGTCAGGGACAGAGAGAGCCCGCTTTAACCTCCTCTGTCGAGGCTGCCTGTGACCCTGCACACTGGGCTGGGTGGCTCAAAGGCCCCATGCCAGTGGACCCCGTTCTAGCACCTCAAGTACATCACCGCATCGGCCCCGCTGCAGCTTATTACAAAGGGGGCACCGTGGTTGCTATTTCACAGGCAGGAAACCGAGGCGCTGGGTTGGAGTGAGGAAGCGGCAGGAGCCCTGGGCCCCCGACCCATCAGACGTCACCACTGCAGGTGCTGGACACCGAGACTAGGGACTTCCTAGGCTGTCCAGTTATTCCAGGAAAATGGAAACACCTTCCACACTGGAGCCCGGGGACTGCCTGCACCTCCACGAAGGCCCCATGTCACAGGGTCCTAAGTGACTCGGGGACATGCCGGTTCTCAGAGTGTGGTCAACGGCACCTCCTGGGGCACCTCCTGGGAGCCCCTCCCCCAGACCCGGAGACTCTGCTTTTTAAGCAGCCCCTCCCGCCCCCAGGATCCAGGAG